ACTAAATATTCTGTAAATTTCATATTTCTGTATTAAAGTCATCATACTTAAAAAATGGATTAAATAATATTAATATTTCACTATTTTTCTCCTTTTAAAGCTAATGTATAAGCTTTAAATATGAAAGTAACAAAACCAAACTACCAGGCATTTCAACATCAAGGTATGGACTAATTATCCTGTAAATTTTATAATTCTATAAGGCGATTTTCTAGAATTTCGAAATTTCAAGCAATTTTTTTTGGAAACCGTATATGCCAAACGGGTCTATTGTAAGTTTTATTTTGTCTTTGGTATGTAAACTTAATCCATGAAAAATATTAGCTGTTCATATTAAAAAGCCGAGACATGGGACGCATTTAAAAAACACGAAAAATTGGTAAAATGCACGTGTAATTATTTAAAAATATTGATTGAGTGAATTTATATATTTTTTTATAAAAACCACTATTTTTTAGCTTTAAAATGACATTTTAAAATTTAAAATATCTTTACTAGAAAAAATTATTAAAGCATAAAAATAACGCTTTTAAAAATTCTTAATGGGGTAGTTAAATTTTTTCTGACCCATACTTTTTATGGTTTTATTCAAGGCGTTTTGTAATATTAAACATTTTTGTGAAATCAGAATTTCAATTGAGTTTACCGTTTTCGAGATATTTACAAAAAATATAAATTTTTATGACGTCACAAACCTCGCCATGTGACCAACATTCTAAGATTTCTATTGGTTGAAAATTACCCTGTTGTCAAGTTGTCTTGTTAATGATTTCATTCGGTTATGTCAGAAAATACCCGAAGAGGATATGTACAAATACTGTCACTGTCAGTTGAGTGAAAGAAGAAGAAGAAGAGGAGGTTAAAGAAAATTTTGAAATTAAAAGTTTTATTGATAGGTTTACACATTGAAACACCGTGTGAAACCTAATAAAATGTAATAAATATGTACCTAATAACTGTCTAAAGCAGAGTTTAATATATTTCATAGAAAAAAGTGGCAAAATAAAGCTGAAAATAAATTAAATAAATTTACAAAAAATAACAGTAAATGTAAGTTAACAATGGTATTTATGATATTTGTGTATAGTTTTTATAAAACTTGCATCCCTGATGATGAGCATCAAAACCTTTTGTAAGATAATCTTACTAAGATTAAAAAAATGTATGACAAACTTTTGGACTGTTCGAAGATACTACACTCTATAGAGTACATTTTTGGTCACCAAATTCATTTAGTACCTCTCTTCCTTATTACGAGGTATCATATTACTGTTTGATATTTTAGAGTCCAAGAAATATCTAAAAGAATATAAAGAACTAGGCATTATACTAATGAAATGCATTTACGACAAAATATGATTATAATTATAGGTACTTACTTTATTTGTTTAAAAGCTCCAATGTTCAATGTAACCAACCATTCCACAAGATTCCTCTGCTTTGGAGTCCGTTATTAATAAATCACTTATCTAATATCAATTACAAATAACATAACAATAACATTTTTTTCAATAATCTAAATTAAAAAAAACATAACCCGAAAAAAAGAAACGTCAAAAAATCAATTCTTCTTCTTCTTCTCAACTAAAATATTATAACGTGGCGCCATCTATCGTAAGAATCTTAAACTAAATACACTGGCAATCATAGAAAAAGCTGGCAACGTTGTCAATAGCCTAGTGACGTAATTAGGAGATTTTTTTTTGTAAATATCTCGAAAACGGTAAACTCAATTGAAATTCCGATTTCACAGAAATGTTTAAAATTACAAAACGCCTTGAATAAAACCATAAAAAGTATAGGTCAGAAAAAATTTAACTACCCCATTCTAATAGGCCGGATTTGACACATGCGAAAATCCAAGATGGTCGGGCAATAAGTTTCATATGGATTGACTCTATAGAAACTTTTTCTTTTATTTTTACGTGTAGAAATATATTAACGGTATTTTCTGACTTTTATTATGTAATAAAAACATTATTATTCTTATTATAACCATAATCGTCTTAATTAATTGACGAAAAAAATCTAGTTTAAAAATAAAAGAAGATATAAAAAGGTTAATTTTATATACCTAATTATTTTTTTATTGAAATAAAATGCACCTTTTACACAAAGAAAAATAAAATCAGATTCAGATACCTTTCAAATTTTTGTCAACGCTTTGCGTAAAATAATAAGTACTTAAACCAGCGGAAGTACGCGTATAATTAGCGGTACGTAAAGCCTCCATAGGTGGTACGTAAGAAAGTAAACAAACTTTAATATATTTACATAGAAACAAAAGTTAATATTCACTGAATTTTATCAAATAAATTAACTTAATATTTCTAGGTATAAAACAATTGTATATTTGTATGTAGGCTTATTTAAAAAAAGTAAAAAATATTGAATTTACACGATTATTTAATCAATAGAAAATGTTCTATAAGTGATAAGTTTTCTATTGAGTGCAAATATCTTGATTCACGATCGTTGCGATCCCTTAAAACAAAAGTTTTTCGAGCACATAACTTTAAGAATTTTGCCAAAATTACATTTTTAATATTTTTTTGTAAATCACTTGAAGTTCCCGAATAACGTAATATCGCCTGTTTCACATAGACACCTGAAGAAACCTGTTAAAAATTCAATAACTGAAGCACGGAAAATCATGTTAAATCCTGTGTAAAATCTTTTCAGGAAAATGTACCATTGACTTACTTTGGACATATATTCAACAATTTGAAGCCGTTGTTTTTATCATATTGGATATATGTGTTGGTCCTCATCATCGAATAGTAATAACTAAATAAATAAATATTATTATTATTATAATAATATTATAATAGGGTTCTCAACGCAAAAACCGGGATATTTGGGGTGAATTTACATTAATTACAAAAATAACACAATGACCCCAAAGCAAATTATAATTTTAAAGTTATTTTATTGTTGTTGATTTTGTCATTTTTGTTATTAAGGTAATTTTACACAAAATGTCCCGGATTTTTTTGACAGCAGTAGGGAACCCTGGTCAGAACTGACAATGGAAACATTTAAAAATTAGTTTTCTAAATGGAGTTTAAAAATTATGGCAGCTGTAAATAATTACGCGACATCTCTTGTAATATAATATAGCATTTATATAACTTATGGTAAAATATTTTATTTCTAATATAATGTTATATAAAATATTTTATCCAATTTATATAAAGAGTACCTACTCTTAAATTTAATGAATAAAAAATTACTAGTTTTTATGGGGAAAAAGCACAGCAATTTGTATCCCTAACATTTAACAGTCAATTCTTATGTAAAATTTTCCCCTGAATCTGAAAATATCATCAAAATTTAATAAAGTAGAGCAGTTTTTGAAATATAGTCAATTCGATATTATTTGAAAAATTCACTAAATCTCAAAAACTGTTCTACTTTTTTTTAACTTTTGACGACATCATCGGATTCAGCGGACAATGTTACATAGAAATTCACTGCTTAATGTCGGAGATAGAAATTGCTGTTTACGAGAATTATTATGGGCTGCTTTTTCGCTATGACAGTAAGTCACTTTTTACTAATTTATTTTAAAAGAGTATATTATTAGCCTATTTTAATATTGGTATCCAAAATGGTATATATTTTTAAAAAAGGCGAATGCGCCGGGTTTAAATATAACATTTAATCCCGACGCATTCGCCATTTTTTTAAATATATATGAGTATTTATATAAATAACACTGTGAGGAGGTGAAAATATCACAGCTAAACGCTCGGACACGTAAACTTATTTTTTTCATGCTTGGTTTAGCTGTATCAGGTTCAAAGATATTGGAAACACCCTGTATAAATTTAAAAAAACAATTTGGCCCACACATTATTTCCAAATTAAAAAAAAAAAAATCATCAAAATTTAAGTTAATTATAGATAATTTAGGAAATTCAAAATGTTTTTTAAGGTGAAATGTATTAATTTGCAAATTATAATATACCAGTATACAGTGTCTCCCCGGATCGGATTTCCGACAGGAAAAACTTTTTTAGACCTGATACAGCTAAACCGAGCATGGATTTGGAATCTACGACCAAAAATTAGGTTTACGTGTCCGAGTGTTTAGCTGTGATATTTCAAAAGTTGAAAATTTAACTACAGTTACCTACAGTTAGTTTTTCAATTTTTCTATTTTGTCAAAAAAATATTTCTTCTTTTATAATTTTAGATTACTTTATTGTGACAAAAAATACATACATTATGTCCGAAAAGTTTCCCGATTTTTTTATTAAAAAGGCCCATGTAAAAGGTAACAACAACGTATGTTGTTTTTTTGTAAGTTAACAATACTGTACTATGCTCCACACCCAAAAGTCTCACCTTGACATTTATAAATACAAATAATAATTATTTGTATTTATAAATTATTAAGGTTAGTTTAACGCTTTGGTTTTAAAAAGAATTCAACATATTATGTATTTTTTGTGTTTGCATTTTAATGTCAAAGTTAAACTTTTTGGTGTAGAGCATAGTACCCAATTATTAGCTTGGTCTACAATTATCCCAGAAGTTATCTTTTAGGGTTTACGTCTTACGTCAAACCAATCACAGTGCTTAATTTGGACATGATAATATAAGATATAAGATAATATTTTACCAGGCTTAATAGTCGTACCTACGTATGAAACGTTTAGGTTCAGGGACATCTTTTTAAAACTTGTATGACGATTATTCATTAGGATTAAATTGACTGTAAATATTTTCACAAATTAAAGCCATCCATAGATACAAATCTCAATACCTTTTGTGAGAAAACTTTTTGGACAGAATATGGTAACATATTACTATATATGCGTTATATTAAAAAATCACATTATACTTTCTTATAAACATGATCCCAGTTCTCAGAATTTGTATTTATATAAACAAACATAATATCATTTTTGCCAAATATTTGCTATGATTTTTATTAAAATTTCACAATAAACCCCTTATGCTTATGATAGATTTGACAACAATGGAAACAGTACCTTGTGTAGTTGGGGTGCATACTCAGAGATATTTGACTTTCCTCTTAAATACCTCGGCAAATACCAAAAGCAAACGTTCATATATTGCCGGTCGGAAACCATCATAAATTCCGGTCTATTGCGAATTTGTTTTTCAAAGGATTCGGCCGTTTTCATCAGTGCGTCAATATGATTGGCAAACCCCGATGAACCCTAGAAAAAATTTAAATATTTATATGAAAATTGCTAGATTTATTATGTACATAAGTTTTACTACCTACAACCTTTTTCAGATTCAAGTTTTTAAAAATTGAATGAATAAAATTTGTTTGAAAAAAGATTTGGGCACGATATTAGTTAGCATGAGGAAAATTCAAGGTTGTAGTATAGTCTACTTAAAAGATATTTACTAAGTTTTAGAGCCAACAATTATTATTTATCGTTTATTATTGCTTAACTGTGTTGTAAATATTAAATTAATTAAATTAAAATTTAAATGCCACTTCTACAGTTATAAGTGCATGAAATAAAATAAATCATTATTATTTTTTCTACTACCTTACTGGAAAACTTAATTTTCCACCCCCGAGCGAGGGAGGAAAATGCCTCTTTTCCTCCCCGGGAGGAAAAAAAATTTTCACCCTCTTTTTTTAACAATTTTACATTAGCAAGAGTTTTTGTACCTTGTCTAGCCCTATTTGATTTTGTAGGAAAAAGATTTACTCCGCGCTTGTCCAATCATTCTTTGAACAATCTATATTTATTTTCATATCGCTCTTTAGATTTTTAAGGAAGGAAACTGCATCTTCAGCAAGATATTTCGGCAGGTCTTCTTCTCTAGAACTCATTTTCAAAACGTAGGAAGAATTTCAAATTTATCATAAACATTCTGACAGCTTATAACAACTGTTATGTTTGTATTAAAAAATACCATAGCAACAAAGCGTTGGCAACATAACGCGGCGACGCAACACCTACTTAATATTTTGTCATAATTTTATAGTCCCATACCGGGTTAGTAAAAGGAACAGGAACGCTTAAAACGTCTTAAAACCGTTAAAAGGTAATAGAAAAAACTATATACATACCTCAGGAGGAAAATGCTTTTCCTCCCTTGAATATTTAATGCCCTTCGCTTCGCGTCGAGCATCAAACTATTCTCGGGAGGAAAAGCACTATTTTCCTCCCATGGTATGTAAATAGCTATTATTGTCATGTTGTAAGATATGCGTTAATTTAATATAACTTCAATACAGCTCATGTCTTTATACATATCTTATAACGTGATATTAATTTTTTTTCTTGTATGCATTTATGCCTAAAAAATAAAAATATGCTGTGGAAGACCGTATTTTTGTTAGTATACCTTGAAAATGTTGTAAAAATCAACAAACAGTAACGAAAATCCAGCGCTTCAAAGTCCTCAAAAATGACCACTTTTCAGCAAAATAATCAAAAAGGGGTCATTTTTACCGACTTTGAAACGCTGTATCTTCGTTACTGTTAGTTTGATTTGCAGGGTATACTAACAAAAATACGGTATTTAACAGCATATTTTTTATTTATTAAAAAAAAATCACTATTATTAAATAAAAAATAATAAAAATATTTTCTCGAAAAACCCTCGAACACGTAAACTTAGATATAAGTTGAAGTATTTTTATACAAAATTTCATAAAGATCGGCAAAGGCGTTTTTTTAAATATATTTTTTAATTATAATTATACAATCCTTCTACCTTCTATGGTTTTCTTCTCTTTGTTTTTTGCGTTATTTATTATTTTGCAGTAAACTTTATTCGTTTTTACAACTCATTTTAAGATTTTAAATAACACTGCATATATAACTGTCACTGCCACTATCAAAAGCAAAAAGCGTCACTAAATAAACCAACTATCAACAACTCGCAATGTTTTCGCATTTAAATCACGTTCTTGTATTACAATAGAAAATTGTCCGGTTTCTAAATTAAATGTAATAAAATGACAAAATAATGTTTGTTTTTGTAAGTTGGTACCTATCGCTATTTAAAGCAACTGCCCTTACCCCTTTCCCCATAAAGTACTTTCTGAACCCCCTCAGCATATCAATGCAATATAATGTTTTTTATTTTTGCATGTAAAACAGTAATATTAATTAATTTTAAGAAAATTCAATTTTTAATTACCATATGTTTGGTCTTTATTTCTCTCATTTTTTTAGAGGAAGACCAACCATATGGTAATTGAAAATTGAATTTTCTTAATATTAAACATGAACTCCCACGGGAATCCTTCAAATATTAATTATTATTATATTTTCAGAATAAAACCTTATTTTCACAATAATTACTCATAATTATTATGAGTAAGTTAGATGGTTTATATCTTTTTAATCAAATTTATCTTAACATTATTTCTATATAGCAAATAACCATTAATATTTAATTTACTGATTTTTTTTTAGACCGGCCCGGGAAAATTTCTGGTCAAGCGGCCCACTTGGCCCTTCGTGTGTGGAAGGTATGCTTTTTACTAAAAGAGAAAATTACGCTACGACCCACGACACACATTTTTTGGTAATGTCAAAAATAATCTTATAAAGAACATTTACATTATATTATACCTGCATAAACACCAAGTTATACTGGAATAAGTTTGACATTATGGTATTACCTTAAGTGAACTTAAACAAGTATTATTAAACAATTAAAGAAAATATTACAAAAGCATCTATATTTTGTTACCTGTGAAACTGTGAACAAAATATAAAAAACCATAATACAAGTTAAATTATGAACTAAAAATCCTGAGTTTTAAATATCCCTTATTTTATTTTAAACGGAGTAAAAAAACTGACTACTTAACTTAAAAAACAAATATGTATAAAAAAAACATTTAACAAAACATGAAAGTAATAAAATACTTACTAAAAGTAATATAATAAACTACAAACACCCTAAGATCCTAAATTATAAATAACTCTTTGGTTATGTTATAATAAAATTCAATCCTCAGCAAAACTGCTTAATTTCTTATTAATTTTCGCCATTAAATTTTGCAACCAATTTAGATTTCAAGAGCACACTTTTGTCAGGTAGTAAGCCATTTCGCCATATTTCTTTAAAATATGGTGGGTTGAGAAAACACATATTTGTCTTGTTTTATTGACCGGAAACTTAATATATAATTATTCTTTGTTTAATCTCTGGTAGACATGTTTCCAATCTTTTATACCTTCAATACAAATATTTGACTCATTGGTGCCACAAAATTCTAAGCGAATAGAGCAAAATAAAGTACATTTTCCTGTGCTGTATGTTAGCCACTGCCTTATAACTTTTCAATATTAAACGGTACTTTTTTTGTTTTTTAGGTATCTGGGTGTGCTACTTAAGAAATGTATTAATTTATAATCAACCGGACGTTTAAAAAATGTATTCTCCTCTAAAACTCATTAAAATTCAAATTATGTATGCAATCATTTCTTGATGTACATTGGATTATAGTGAACTCAGCACACTCAGCAGTATTTGTTTCAGTTTCACGTTTAGTGAAGTTTACACAGGTTACAGGTTTTAAAAGCGAATCTAAAATTTGACATTTACTTGCCTCCTCCATCAATTGCTTCAATTCCTATCTCTTTTTTTCTCTGCCTCTCCTTTCTTTTTCCTTTACTGAATCCCTGCAATTATTTGCCTAAGCATAATAACTATTAATAAATACTTAAAATTATAACGTATAATCAAAAATTTGATCGATCGATTTTGGAATGTCGAATCTGCGGTAACACAGGCGTCGCGTCGTCAAATGATACCGTTTCCGTCGTTGTCAAATTGCACGGACGGTAATTAAATGAATCTGAATATAAATAGTGGTTGAACACAACAAATAGTTATTTTTGTTACAAGTACCTAAAACGAAGTTTTTCAGGACGAATCATTGTTGTTTTATATTATTTTTTGTCATACGCTCCCAAAAATAGCTATTTTACGGAATAATTTAAGTCCGTAAAATGCTTTTTTTTCGGCCTAGTCCCTAAAAGTCGTCATGGCAACCTTTATGGACTATTCCAAAATTCCTTAGAATGTCCTAATTCGAAAAAAAACTGTTTATTTGATTGCCATATCTATACTAACAATATCTAACTATTTAGGTTTTTAATAATTTACTTACATTTTCGTGTAAATAATTCAGAAATAAATCTTCATTTACAACGAGTACGTTATTTTCGTGTTTCCATTTAATAAAAGCATTTATGGTAAATGGCACGAAACTTTACAGGAAGTAAATCCAACACGATTTCTTGGGCCTTATTAGCAATATACTCGGGATTTTCGAAAATTTTAAAGTTTATGTATGTGACTTTCTAACAAATTTCGAATGACATTACAAAATTATCAAATATCAACAAACTTGTTGAGCAACAAGTAGGCCGAAAAAAAAACATTTTACGGTAGCACTACGATATCAATTATTTCTTAGCCAACTTTTTCGAACATTAGATTTAAAAATTATGGAAAACGTCAAAAAATAATATTTCGATTACAACTCGAGAGTTCAATAAATTAAAAAATAATTCCATAGAATAATTCTTAAACTTTTACTGCAATTCCACTGTTAAAATGAATTATTTACTATATTAAATATTGCAAATATTATTATTATATATTTTCACTTAACATGGCAACTGCACTTATTAACCTTATCATTCTAAGATTCTAATTTAGCCAAAAGTTTTCGAAATATCTGTCAAATACTTTTCAATATATTCTTACTCTCTAGTAATATTAATGTTGATTATTTTTTGACGTTTCCAAGATCGGATTAGAACTAATGATTTTAAAACTATTAAAAAATACATATGTTTTTTCGTAAATAAAATTAAAATATAATATTATGATAAAACAGTAGCGTTATAAGTTTAATCTATTATTTGATTAGTGGAAATCTTTTAACATGGTATTTTACAATTTGTAATTCTGGGGATCGCTTATTTCTATTTCTTGTCCAGTATTTTTTAAAATGCATTTTTAACTATCAAAAATGGAAGAACCTTAGATCATACATACTCCAAGGAAAAAATAATAATAGAAAAGACACTATGCACATGGCCGAGATAGTAGTAAGAATTTAAATAATGATTGTGAATATGGATACATATTTTTTCAGAAAGCTTACAACTTTAAAATTTCGCATGTAGGAAATATTTTATGGCTTTTCAAAATCCTGGCT